TTCACTTTGGAAGGGCATAGCTCCTAAACATTTTTTTTTAGCAAACACCAAATACAACTTTGAAAGATCAACATCTTTTCTGAAACTTACAGCTGAAATTGAGTCTGTAGCTGCACATATGCCAGAGCACTAAGCTCTTAAATTTGGAAGAGTGGAGTCCCTGCTCCCATAGGAAATCCATTCATTTTAAAATGCATAAAAATATTAATATAATATCAACCATTACAGATATCAGCAGCACAGGTAATAGCACCCATCTCATGAAGAAGATGTACTAGTTGAAGTTGGAACCAAATTTGTAGGACAAACGGTACAGGACTAGTTAGATGCCAAAAAATGGCAGAATAAATAATAATAATAAAGAGCAAGTAGAGCTGCAGCTCTCACACTAAATAATGTAGGAGACCTAGACAACATTTCTTTACTCACAAGGTTCAGAGAGGAGACAAGACTTTACCCTCTGCAGCAGCTCCTCTAGCGCCCTCTGCAGGTCAAATCTGACACCCAACAAAGGGGAGGTTCCCACAAATCACTTCACAGTGTTGTTGCTTAGTGAGGTGTTCTTAAGATGAGGGGTCAGCCTGGATGTATCAGCGGACTGAGGACTGGGTGCAGTTAGTGCTCTGTCCTTCATCTGACAGACACCCAGGGGTTCAGATGTGTAGAAAGAACCAGAAACCAGATTGTACTATTCGATTTGATCTGCCTGTTTAATGAAGGTTGCTGCCTGATTTCAAGGTCTGGGGCAACATCATCTCCCTTTCACACGTGTTCATCTCACGTTATTCTGATACGGTTACATCAGACAAAAAACTGTTTGGGATCCAGTGCTTTAGAGACTTCTGTGCAATACAAAGCTCTTTAATGAGCCTTTTATACCAGGGTTCTTCTGCATTTATCTGTGGTGAAAGGAGGTTTTTCTCAGTCAGATTATGCTGCAAAACTTCTCTTAAAACTAAAAAGCTGTCACACTAGCAGACCCTCATCTTGTCTTAGCAGCCTGTTAACACGAAACCTGAAGAGGGCAGCAGGTTCTAGCTAATCTGAAATAAATCACTCACCCTAAAATCATTTCCACGGGAGATGGTGGTGGATGTGCAGTGAGGGAAGATAACATAACCTAACATTTCCATTCATTTTATCTGTTCTTCAGAGGGTGTGTTCTGGTTGTAGAGTCCGGGGCCTCCTCTTTTGCATCTGCAGCCTGATCGGCGTCCTCTAGCTTCCTCTGCTTTCCTGTGGAAACTGGAAACTGCCGCGGTGTTCTGTTGTCAGAGCAAGATTACTGCTGGCAAAGGGCGACCCATGGGAACAAGCGTCAATGAAATATTAGGAACTTCCTCTCCTGCTGCTGAGACAGCAGTTATAAATAGCCAGGGTTATTTTCAGGCAAACACTCAGCCCAGCTCTGATCTGGTCTGGTCTGAGCCTCCATGTGGGATCTGGTTGCAGGACTGTACCACAAACATACAGCAGGATGAAACTGTGAACTGAAGTCTGAACTTTCCTGCCCCGCACCCTTCAAACAGAAAAGTAAGTGTGTTTCTGTGGATCTGTGCATGATGAGCACACAGTTGTTCTCCCACAGTCCATCTCTCTCTCTAGCAAACAGGAAAGGTGTGTGGGTTAAACCAGTATACTGTCTTACTAAAAATGTGTGAATCTGTGATTCGCTGTTGTTCATCACAGAGGTAATAGATGCAAAGCACTTGCTTGTGAAAGTGGTTCTGCTTTCCAACCTTTTGTCTGACGTACCCCCAATGGCGTAAGTATGTATGTATGGAAGTATAATCAGGAAAATGTATGTATATATTATATCATTAGATTATTGCTACTCATGCATTAATGTAAACGCAGGATTTTAGTGTTGTAGATTTCTATCAAAATGAATGATTATTTTCATTTTGGATTTATTTTCTCCATTAATCAACTGAAAATAGTGAAATATGTTGTCACAATTGCCCAGAGCCCACAGTTACACAAGCCCTAAGTTCAATTTCAATTCAAATATATTTTTTACTCCATTTTCCCATGATAACGATTATCTTGTGATCTCAAGTACGTCAGGAGTGTTTCTTTAGGACAAGTTCAGATACATTTTCAGTGTCCCTGGTCAGTTCAGTTGGTAGATAAATAATCCAAGGATTGTGTGTTCGACTTCCACAATTTTCTTTTTCTACAAAGTTGTTATGAAGAGATTCAGGGGAATCCAAACACACATTTCCGGACAGCTTTTTCAGGGGTTCCAAAAAAGCCGTCAGGAAATGTGTAACGTTAAATGGATTCCCCTGAATGAGAAGCACAGGAATTTCCTCTGCCTGGGAATGATGGGTGAATGAAAAGTCCGTAGGCTGATGGATGTGGACCAATTGCCAGGATGCACACAGTCCAGCACGTGCTTTATTGTGTCTATTCATAAGAAGTTTGTTGAAGAGGATTATAAAAAAGAAATAAACAGTCTCAGGTGAGAATCGAACTGTAAATGTTAACGTCAGTGTGGTCAACTTTACATCCAGACTGTTACCACAAGGGGGAGGGAGGTCTCTTGCTCAGTCAGTCTCTTTTTTCCTCTTCCTCGCTTCCTCTGACAACTTCGTCTTCCTTCTCTTCTTTTTAATTCTAGTAGTTGAACCCACCCACGATACAGGATGATTATCACAATCATCACAATAATAATTCTGATTATAATTACTGTCATTAGATTATTGTTGTTCTCACAGCTGTTGGTAGTGTGAGTCAGATAATTCGGTATAGGCCTTGCAAATCCCATATCAGCGTGTGTGTGTGTGTGTGTGTGTATTTGGCAGGACACGAGCTGCCTCTGTCATCTTATCGTGACTCATCTTCAGTCTTTTGAAACAAAGGAACCACACAGTGACACACACAAACATATACACGCAAATGCAGAGAAGACTCTTTTGTAGTGACATTTGGCCTGCCATCCATGACTGTAACCCCTCAGATAATTCTCAAAGGCAGTAGAAAGGAAAGGATGTGTATTCTCCACCATGTTAGGGTAATAACAGATGCGATCATCTAGGCAGGAAAGTAGGAAACACCCTACTTTTACAACCAATTCAGTTTACAGTAACTGGAGAGGAAGGTTCTTTTTCCAAAGCCTAACTTGATCAACATTCAGACTCCTCATCATTAAGTTTCTTTTTTGGTATCAGATAGATAATATTAATCTCCATAAACTATAAAACAAAGCACCAAGTACATAAACATGAATGTCTGTAACTATAAATATCAATACACAGCTAAAGAAACTACTAGAATGTGTCTGTTCAGGTACCGTTGAATTCTCAAACCCTCAAAATTGCCCTCTGTTGGATCCTGTAAAAATATTTCCCCCATATTACTTCACTAGAAGTGACCTGTTGTGGACACTGTGTTGTTTCATTTCACATTCTGTCTGCTGCAAGGCTGTGTGTGTGTGTGTGTGTGTGTCAACGTCACAGGTTTCCTGTTGATGCCAGGCTGTCTGGAATGCCTCCTGCTGAGGTCAGAGGTCAAAGGATGTGTGTCACTGCCACTTCCCCTCCCTAACCAGCAACCTGGGATGCCCCTCCATGCTACGCTCACACTGAAAGGAAGACACCACCATTCGTGGAATATGCAAGTTCAGGGCTTTTATTTATTTTTTAATACTGCTGCTCATTTTAATATTTATTTCAACCAAGATATGTTTGAAGTGAAAATCATTGTATGAACTATTATCTGCCCAAGAAAGCAGCTTTCAGACAAACAAAGTTGCAATATACTGTAAAGTCAGAATATTGGTTTAAAAAAATCTACACATTAGTGTTTGACAGAAAACAATGTATGTGATCCACCGTCACTGTATGTAAGTGTCAGTGTTTACTGTTCACTCTCCTCCAGCCCTATCAGAGGGGTGCTGCTAATGCAAAGGCTGCAAAAAGCTGCTGCTTCACATTAAAAGCCCTCTTCTGGAAAACATGGGTTGGATTTTATTGTGACATGGCCACAGGAAACAAAAAGTATTTGTCATTGAAGTTAGTGCTAACTGCCACAGTTCACCAAAAATGTGCCTACAAATCAAAGCCGGTCATTTCCCACATTTTTAATTTCATATGTTGTTAGATGGGAGTAATGAAACAGTCAGGAGCAGCCACAGTCAGCTGTTGGATAAAGAGCAGCAGGCGACAGGCTGCACACCTCCAACTCCTCAGCAAGATCCGCAACTCATATTGCTGTGTCCTGCTGTTGTGTGGAAAACTATTCACACAGTTGCATTTACTGTTGACTGGCTTCTTTATTGAAACAATGCCAGTTTGTTTGGCTGCACTGTAAACAGATACACCAGCAAGTGTCTCATGTAGTATTAAACCGCTCTTACTGTTACCAAAGTAACCACAGGTGTTGCAAAATCAACCAGGGTGGAAATCCCAAGGGTGACAATTGAGCAACTTAAGCTACTGTCAGTCGGTGTTATTAAAGGGCTTCCAAAAGCACAGATATGGAATGGCTTGATATATAAAACAATGCAAATAAATGAGCTCACAGGAGTGGGACAAGGCAGGCCAGGCTCTTAAATGTTCATACTAATATTGGAAAACTAAAAACATGATACCTGAAAGGACCACACACACACACACACACTTGCATGTTCTTACCACTCTCTAGGCTTTCTTCTCAAAGATCAAATTTAAGCTCCCTTAAAAAGACACATTGCATGATGTGCACAAGTAACTGGATGAGTCCCACAATGCTGACAGTGAGCGAACAGGAATGCAGGGAGGGGTCTGGAGTCATCAGACAGGTCTGGGAGATCATCCAAATGAATGGAAGCTGTTTATATTTTACTGTCACAAAGACAGAAATATATGGCCACAGTATCACATGTTAACCCTTCACCCTGGAAACCACCCTTCTATAATATGTGTGTGTGTGTGTGTGTGTGTGTGTGTGTGTGTGTGTGTGTGTGTGTGTGTGTTTGAATGAGTGTAAAGGTCCTGGTCCTTGGCCTAGTCCTTGGGGACAGGATGTGCACTGCTACGAGAGCACAAGTCCATTATTTGTTTTTAGAAAGTGTGTGCATACACTTGCCTGTTGCTTGTGTATCCTAAGGGAAGCTCAAGGACACACACTCAATCTACTGGGCTGGTACTGGGACTGTCTGAGGCAGGATGCTGGGTCTTGGAGGAAACCCTGTTCAGACCAGCCCTGTGTGTGTTTGTGTGTGTGTGTGTGTGTGTGTGTGTGTGATGTTAAAAACTTAGACACAGTGCCATTAATCTAACAGATGCTAAGAGGAAACAACAAGATGAAGCGGGCCAGTGATTCCCAATCAGGAGGTACTTCAGGGTCACACATGGAAAGATTGTGCAGTAGCTCAACTTATATAAAGAAAAATAGATATTCTTTCTTGATTTACAAATAGACATCCACATATCAGGTCATCGACTCACACCTGAGCACTACAAAATGAACAAGCATGCAGAGAAGTCTAAAAACAATGGACAGTTCAAATAGCCAAAATAAAAGTAATGGATAAACAGTTTGAATTGTTAGCTTAAAGTAAAAATTGTCAGCTAAATGCAAGACTGCTAAGACTTTACAGACAGCATGGTAATATTTTCATTCAAGACACAAAGGTGTTTTCCACTCCCGATAAGCACGCACATTTTTATCTTCCCATGCGCACACACTCCGGTAAGACAAAAGACACATATCCTCTGCATGTGACATCCATCCCGGGACCGGCTGAGCTCCATATCCTCCCCATGATCCCTCAGCTAGAGAGGCAACATCCTCTGGCTGCAGCGAGGGGAAGCTGGCCTCACTGTGACACTCGGCTCTGCAACAGGTAACAGCTCAACTCCAAATCTCCGCGCCTATACTCGAAACCTCCAGTCACCGCTTTCCGCTTTTGGATCGTCGCGTCAGGAAGTCAAATTTCCGTCAGGTAAGAGCTCCCAGGCATTTCCCTTCACATGCATGTAGGAGAGGGATTCATGGGCCGGCTTGCATGGACTTGTGATGAGAGTAAAGGTCTCTAACTGTTATGTTTTTTAGTTTCAGGCATCTCCTGGGACAGTCTTCTAGGCAGATCCTCTTACTGCCTGACCAAAGGATTTGCCAGAACGATCCAAGGAGAGAAGAATATTTTTCCTCTGACACTCATCACACAAAGTGTAAGAGGTGCACACACCACCAAACAAGACAAAGTCACTATAAAACAGGGACGGGAAAGAAACGAGAAAAGGGAACAATGATGGAACTGAGGATCCAGCTCATCCCAACAGGGGAAATCATCCTTCCTCCGGGGAAGAACGGGGAAAACTACTGCCACAACTGCAAGGTCAGTTCACACACTGCGGTCAGATCTGGAGTCAGATTTTTCCACTCATCCTTCATTCCAATGGGTTTTATGCAGCTCAGTGGGTAGAAACTGATGCTGACACAGCTGAGGTTATAAGGTTCGTCTCCCACAGGGATGAGGTTGAGAAACATTTACATATTTTAAGAACTTTAAATTGCAGAATACTGTCTGCCTTGTAAATTACATTGATAAATCAGAACAGCTGCGGTTAGTAAATAAATTTAAATCCCCTTTGGCTCTAAGCAGAGCTCTCAGAATTATAATAAGCAGTACTCAGTTAATTATACATGTAAAAATGCCTCTGGATGCTCTGGACTTCTACTAATAGAGAATGTGATATTAACACTTTATTGTCATGAATAGGATGAAATTTAGTCTCAAGCCGTGTAACATAACTGGATTTGTTCCAGACATCAGTTCTTAGTAAGAAACCAAGAATCCTCATTCATGTCGGACAGATCCGTTACGGAAGAACTAGAGATACTGATTTCTTCACCAACTGTAACAACAGACCAGAATCTAAAGGCAGCCACACAGGCTGCGGCATTTTAAAGCTGCTATAATCAATATTTTTCATATCAACAACGGATCAAATAACATGGGATGTTTTTTTGTTTTTTAAAATCTCTCAGCTGTGAGTCCCCCAGCTTTATGGAAGTGCAATACTAAATTGCTGGAGTACCCCTTCAAAATTTGGATTACATTCATTTTAAAAATCTAGACTTAACCTGTTCTGCAGTTTTGCCTTTGTGATGTTTCCATGCAGGAATTACAAGAGACATCCGTTGCTCTATAACATTTTGACATGTGCTACATGTTTGATGCTCTTCTGTAGGTGCGCAGTAATGAAGATAGCTGATATCTAATATCTATATAGTATCCAAGGAATGAAGGGAGCTGGCTTTTTAAAATCAATCCTCCCATTAAGGCGCCGTTTGGTACAGTAAAGCGTGGGCTGACACAGGATTAGGATGTATAGTAAGAGGAATGTGGTGCAGTTAATGCAGCCGGCTTCGTGCTGGTCAGTGATGATTGAGGAGGTGTGGAATGTACTGTAGCCTGGACGGGAGTAAACGACAAAGACATTCCTGTACACGGCTTCATTTTTCTCCTTCCCACATTCCTCCAAGGTCAAATCACCCTGCGTGTCTGGATGTGTGTGAAAGGTGTGTGTGTTGGAGTCTTCACTATTTTGCTAAGCTATGACCAAGACCCTTTAACCTATGTGTGTCATTTAACATCAAAGCGTTGTAACCTTCTTGTAAGGACAATGACTGATAAACACGTAGGACTCATTGGATTTCCTCTCTGCAATTATATAAAAACAGACATTTCAATAACAATCGGATGTCAGGTAATATTCTGGTAAGTTAAACAAAGTAAATATTGTGGAGTTAACTGGCTCTGAAAAACAAATGAAAAGAAGTGAGTGTGGCTGTGTTTTGGCAGAGTTTCCTGGTTTTGGTTCCAAAGATGTGGAGTGGGGAGGGTGAAGGTTCGGGGGTGGAGGTGGGAGCCTTTTGTCCAGTACAGTCTGTCTTTCCCTCCAACAGTGCCTTGTCAACAGGATACAACCTGTGTGTGTGTGTGTGTGTGTGTGTGTGTGTGTGTGTGTGTGTGTGTGAACGCAGTTGGTTGTGGGTTGTTCGAGGCTGAATTGATCACTCCCCCCCCTGGCAGTGCAGTTATATTACAGTCCATCTCTGGCATTGACAGCCTGCTGACCAGCTGCCTGAGGTCACCTTCACATGGACACGGCATGTGTTGCATAACTCTGCAACAACATCTGAAAGGACAGTACATTGAACTCCCAATCTTTGTTATGTGAAGGACCCCCAAACAGATGCACACTACCAGGGCTGTGGGTACTACTGAGGACACGAGGTCATGACTTTAGTATTTGGTTTAACAAAACGTTTACATTAAACTAATAAAAAATATACACATTGTGGGCATTTTTTTGTATTTTTAAAATCATTTTTATTAGATTTTTTTTTCAGTTGACCTTCATGCTGGAAAATAAAATTTACAGAAAGCATAATTGAACTGTTAACTGAATAACCAAACTATGAAACATCCCAATAATTAAAAACAAAAGGGATTAGGGAGAGTTGAATCCATGACCTCAGTATAAGTTTTAGCTTACTGTACTGCAGTAGATCCCAGAGGTCCAGCTGGTTGATTGCTGCTATAAAAAACCTTAATCATATAGCCTCTCTCCAGTCCTGTCACTGTGAACTCTAGGGAGTGAAATTATAGTGAAAGTGAAACTGTTTCTTGGTACTAGAGACACTTTAAAAAAATTCTCCAAGGACCCCCTGGAGGTGTCCGGACTCAGTTACTGCTTTAAGAGATTTTATTTTTAGAACACAAGACTGTTAAAACTGCAATCCACGCCCACGTTACTTCTAACCATGCTTCTAAATGGCTTTTCATGAAGGAGGGGACTTCCTCCTGCTGTGGGGAGGAGCTCACAGTCTGCAGTGGCAGTGGGAAGGTGCAGTGGCAGCTTCAGGGACGGTAGAGGGTACGAGAACTCTTTGAACTGACTGCACTAGTTGTGAGCAGTTGTAATGCTGTGGTTTATGCTGGAGTTTGCGGCTGAATTACACTGAACGCGCCCTGAACTGAAGAGAAAGTAGCGTCAGGGGCAATTTATCATTTATTGCTTTGTTGTTTTAAAAAGTGCTGATGAATGCCCATTTTTTTCCTCCTTGGCATTTCAGGGCTTTAACTTGTGCTCAGTCGGGTTTGTACGTTTGCGGATTCCTATAAAAAATACATATCAAAGCCAAACTGTATTTGAAACGGTAGACATTTAAGGGCCAGTTTATTATTTTCCCCCACTCAAGAAAGGTATCTGTATATTGTTCTACATTATCCCAGCACCGACGGGGCTTTGTCGGGAACCTAGCACCCTACCAGTTATCTAACCAAGAGCCATTTAAAGGACTCGGCCTACCCAAAGTGTGTGAAGGAAGTGGAGATCTGAAGACAGCTGCATTCTTCTGTCCACAGGCTGCCTAGTTTGCCATGCTTGTAGAGAAAACTGGAACTGGTCATTATAATCAGAAACTTTCTCAAAATATTTTTAAATTAGTAACACAAAATAATGAGAAACTCATTAATCGCATTATTCTGAGAGACTATGTAATTATTTATTTTGAGAATGTTTGTCATTGTTTTGAGATACTATCTCATTATTTTGAGATCGGCTACTAAACTATTTTAGAAGACTTTATTTATAACGACTTAAAGGATATTTAATCCATCACATTGGCAGAAACGAGCTTCCATATAAAACAATGACGACATGGTGCGTGGCCTCGCTAAAATAAACTAGGGCCTATATCACTCATGCCGGAGCTACGGATGGGTTCTTAACTTCCTGGTATTACAAGGCTGCACTGCACCCTTCATTGAAAGAAAAGGAAGAGCAGAAATGCCACACCACTCCCGTAGGGGGTTTAGGGGAACTGACTCCCAACAAAGCCGCAGTCAGATTTCTGTTCCATATTAACACCATTATCTATCATTTCACCACAGAGATGTTAATAAAGAAGAGTCTGGTACTATGACTATACCGCTGAATCACTAGAGGAGGTGAAGTCCTCTGCTGCGCTCTGGGAGAAGCCACAGTTGTAGCAGAGCCCACAGTGGGAGTGGTGGGAGGGTCAGGAGAAACCCGGCACGACTCCTCGCACTGAGTACTGTTACCTCCTGGCAGACACCAGTCTGACTGACCGAGTGACTCCGCTGACACACAGAGTAGGGACTGAACCACACATCTCCGCTAGTATCTGGACCATAAGAAACCCAGTGAAAGAAGAGAGACTACTAACGTTACACCGTTTTGACCTCGGCTGTTTTAAGGTATGTCATGTTACACCTAACGTTAGCGTTATTTCAGCGTTAAGTTACCTACTGTAACGACAGCGTTACTGACGCTAACTGTGAACTCTCGGTACGCCAGGTAACGGTAGTGTTACTTGTAATGGCAGGGGCGTTGTGTAAGTTACAGTCGTGACATTTTGGAAAGTTTCTGCAGAGTAATTTGTGTGACATTGCAGCATGCTTGAGTGAGTGGGCGGAAAGCCCTGATGCGTGCCATATGGAGAAAAACGCTACGCCGAATTCCGTTCAAAAACGTGGCAATTTAATGTCGTTCAGCCAGCTGGCAACTCATTTACTCGGTAAAACACATGTCAGGACGTGGAACAAATCAGTGAGAGCAACTGTTCAGTTCTGCTTATGTTGAACGTGTTAATTTTGTGTTACGTTGACGACAGCTAAGCATTTACACTCGACCTGTCTAAGTTTTACCGCTAACGTCACTCCGTAATTTCCCCCAAAAGTGGTACGATCACGTCAGAGGCTATTGTGAATTTGCCTAAGTACAGAGGTGATAACTTCGTTTAAATACGCTGTTACACTGGGTTTGTGACGGGTTAAAGAATTAATGCTTGTGAGTTCTGAATGTGTGTTCCGTTTGGGATGTAGCCTTAAGCAAAGAGAAATAAATCAAACTTTTGGTTATATTTTTGAATGAAGTTGAGTTTAATTCTGTCCCTTACGTGACGGCTATCAGGACCTCTGGCTCTCCACGTACTGATTTGGCGTGTAGCCTACAACTTCAAATCCTTCGTCAGGTTGGGGTTGTCTTTTTATAGACGCCAGACAGACACAGATTAAGATAGTTAACTAAATATCTAACCTCACAGCCTATCATCACACTTGTGAGTACAAAGCTGCTCTAATGTTACTAGATGGAGTGGAGCATGTGTTGTGCAATATAAGCCTAATCATTGTTTGTAACCCTGTCCACCACAGATCTTTCTATGTTGTGTGTTTTGTTCCTATATATATTTTTCAGCTGTCTGACTGTGGCTGAGAAGGTGTCTGTGAGGGGCTTTGTCAACAACATGCCTGTCCACGTGTGTGTGTGCGCGCGTGCGTGCGCATGACTTAAACAACAAGGG